TTTGTTACACTCGCGAATTTAGATATATTGAATACTCTAAAATTGAGCCTTATTCCCTGTGGGACGATAACTCACTCATCACAATTATTACTTGTACAACGAACTCGTACGCTTGCGAGATTTTTGCGTAACAGTAAGAAGAACACGGATTGGTACTAATTATTGTATTGAAATGAACAAAACAATTCCAAGGCATTTGAGAGGCCTGGATTCTCTCCTACTTGGCTCGGCCAACTACTCAATATTTTGCATACCCAATACATCCTACCTCTTCTCTATTTATAAGTATTTTGTAACCAGACATAACATAATTTGTTACTATTAACTACTTCTCAATTCTTCTAGATCCTTCTAGAATGGATGAGGTGGGTGGGAGCCTATCAACATGATCACAAATCAGTTTTCAAACTGAAAAGTTTTGCATCGATTTTCAGCCTCATATTGAGACCAGTTTTTGACATGGAAAACGATCGAATTCGAAGATGGCATCTAAAGCAAAGTTGTAGCCCTTTGAGTTAGCTTTCCAACGTATCTTGAATCCCCTTAATCAGATATCGGGAGAGGAAGTTATGACGAAAATACTGAAAGTGATGTAGAATTCGAAACAACAACGCAACGCCCTGTGCTGCACAGACCCAAAAGAACAGATTTTCAGCGCCGCGCCAACTTAGGTTTTTTTTTAATGTTTGGGCAGCGAGAAGCCTAGAAAAGACCCCAAAAACATTCCAAAACTCCTCATTCCTCATCATTCTTCATTCTATACCATTCTATCACTTTTGGCTCAAGAACTTCATGAAGAACTAATAAACATTGGTAAAGCTACGAAGGAGCTCAATTGGAATTAAATTGGTTTGTATTGCTAAATCCTCTGATTCGAAAGTTAGGATAAAAACTTCTAATTGAATGGAAAATGCATGAATTATTGATGTTGATTGATCCAATTCAGTTGAGAGAATTCCGACGCTTCACTATTTTACATATTGACTTAAATTCCATCATTATATCCAGTGACATTTAC